ATATATATATATATATATATATATATATATATATATAGCTTAGTAATCTCCTATTTATAATTAAAGAAGTGTGATATAATTTCATCATGTGTGTGAATCAGAAAGTAGACTCTATTAGTACTCTGGAAGAATATAAAATAGGAGATTACTAAGCGTTGAATAGTTTGTGATTTGGCGACATATATTGACATATTCTTTATAACGTGATATTTATCAGATGGAACCATTGCGAAAACTGGCATGTACCATTATGTACATTAACGAAACAAATCGCTTCAGGAGAAACCATAATTGATATCAATAAAGAAAATGAAGATTATACATATATGAGCGGCCATGTAATCGATGGAAGGAATCTACTACCAGCTACAGGATATATCCAACTTATCTGGAAAATGGTTGGAATGCTAGAGGGGAAATTATACAACAATATGCCCATCGTGTTTGAAGATGTCAAATTTATTCGGGCGACTCTTCTTCCAGATCAGAGAGCTGTGCAGTTAACATTAATGGTGCAAAAAGGTAAATATTGCTCAATAAATTTTGATTTTAAATCTTCTGTAATAAAAGAACTTATGACAAATATATATTTTCGTTTATTCTCAGGTACCGGAAAGTTCGAAATAATAGAAGGAGATAACGTAATCGTTACTGGCAGAGTACACGTTCCATTAGAACTTGACAAAGACAACGTGTCAATCGATTACCTACCAAAAGACGATGATGAGGAGGAAGTGATACAAACGAGAGATATTTATAAAGAACTCAAATTACGCGGATATCAATATGCAGGCCTGTTTCGGTGTTTAAAAAGTTTATCCGTTTCAGCAAGTCGAGGACATATAGCATGGATGAATGATTGGGTAGCGTTTATGGATAATATGTTGCAGATAAAGATTCTTGAAAAAGACACGAGAAGTCTTTATGTTCCCACCGGAATAGAGAAATTGGTGATCGACCCAAAGCTTCACATGCAATATCTAAAAAACGCTACGAGTGAAGATATACGTAGGTTGGCTAAAATACCTAAGTGCAGATTTCTTTCGATACCTAATACTATAGTATTTCCATAATATTCTACTTCAAATACACTTTCGTATTTAATTTTCAAGTTAAAATTC